GCCTGCTCTGCACCTATGGCACTATGTATTCACGTTAGTCTCTGTTTCTCCATTTCATGTCGCGCGTGTACCTCTCTCTCTCTCTTTCTCTCTCTCTCTCTCTCTCTCTCTCTCTCTCTCTCTCTCGCCGCGCTCGAGGAGAGCGCTCCGCGTTGCGTCCAGTCGAGCCGTATTTTCTCTAAGCGTAATTGAACCGAATCCTCGGACGGTTTGAGATGCGTGCGATAAGTAACAGGCTCGAGATCTCGATAGAACGAACGATCGAATAAAAAAAAAAAAAAACAAATAAAAAGAACCGTACAAAAACGTCGCGGGAGAGACGGATAAAAAGTGAGTACCGTTCGCGTGTCGTTCGACGCGACACGCTCTTCCGGAGGACGGGTCGTCCCCGGAAGTCCCGACGTGGAAGACGCAACAAACAACGAACTCAATCATCACAAATACAAATGTACAATTTCCGCGGAAACGCGGCGAAACAAAAATATGTCGACGTACCGACCGATGTCGCAAATTCACCCGATCAGCTCGATCGGCGTTTCGAAAGCGCGCTCGTACGCGTATTTCGGTTCTGCATACCTTCGACTTCCGGTTTATCTTTCTCTCTCTCTCTTTCTCTCTCTCTCTCGTCCTCTCCTTATCCTGGTTGTTGCATGTAGTTCAGCCCCGTACAACACTCCACCGTGTGTCGTTTCCTGGGGCCCTAACCAGTAGGGGAGGGGGTTAAAGGGGGGCGAAGGAAGAAAGCCGAGAGACCTTCGTACGAGGTCTCTCGACCCCTAGGTTCGGCACTCGTAACTAGGGTTCCGACCGGCTGGTGCCGAAGCCCACCTTCCGACCTCCGTACACCCTTGTTGCTTTCTTTTCGTTCGTTCAATTTCTCTGATTGCGATCTGGCGCACCGCCGCGGCGTATCGCAGCGGCGTATCTCACGATCGGGGAGCCCATGATGGCGAGCATCTCCTCCGGTCTGGTGCCCCGCGCCCTTCACCCTGTTTCCGTGTTACGTACCTGTCGTGTGGGGCCGACATTTGTTCCCTGTGCGATATATACTGTTCTCTCTCCGGGTACGAGTGTCTGTCCCGACTTTTTCACGTGGCCCGCCACCGTGTGTGCACGCGCGCGCCTGCGCGCACGTCACTCGGCCGGATGATTCTTGCCGGGCTGATAGCCGGCGCGTCGCTGCTTCTGCACCGGCAAGAATCATCCGTGCCCCTGACCCGCACACCGACGCGTGCCCCGTGCATGTGGCGGGCCCGCGCGCGCGAATTGGTGCACGGTGTGGTGTGCACGCGATTCGGCTCGAACGCTCGCGGTCGTGTAAAAGTCCCGTGTACTGCTATGATTCATGACGACTGTGCGTACATATGCCTGACCGTTTGTCTCCGTGTGTACCCTTCCCGTTTGTCCATGTGTGTGTGTGTGTGTGTCTATGCGTGCATGTTCGTTCGATCGTGTGTACGTTAGCGTTGCGTGCGCTGGTTTCGCGTGTAAGAAATGCTAATTCCAGGGTCAAGGAGCTCTCCCCGAGACCGAGGCTCGGTCAGGGCACCAGCTGGGGGGCTCGTTCGCCTCTTGCGCTCGCTCTTCCTAGATACACGTTCTGCACAAGGTTTTATCGTTGAGTACAAGGGTTATTAAGTACGGGGATTGGGGGTGGACCTCGCGCGCCCTGCCGGCCAGGACTTGTACCTCACACAACTCCCTAGTTACGAGTACCGAGACCTAGTGTGGTGACAGTTCGATCGCGTACGGCTTTCTGGGTATCGCGCTCTCGAATCTCTCCGTGCTCTCCTCTTCCATTTCTCTTTCTCTCTGGCTTTTTCACGGTCTCCGCGACGAACCGTTCGATCGCGTGAATCCCGTCCGCGGCGGGACCGATATCGTGACGCTCTGCTCGGAACGCTGGTTCGTGCTCAATCTTTGTCAGTCGGTGAAAAATGGCGAAAAAGTTTCGTTGTTCGGTATACATAAACGTAGGAAACCAGTCTTTGTATTTAAGATTCTAGGAGATTGTTCGCGATCGAGCAGCATTCCGTGCAGGGCGAACGCGCATCATTCTTTCGCACGCCATGTACAATCCTTCGTGTCCTTTTTGATCAACGGCCCTATCCGTCCGATTTTACCACTAGTCGAAGCTACTATTCAATAAATTAAAAACTATACGTCTACCTCCGTTACGATCTTGCGAATTCGAACGTCGGTTCATTCGCTCTCGTATATATCTCTCTCACTTTCTCTCTCTCTATCTCTCTCTTTCACTCTCTCTCTCTCTCTTTCGTTCTCGCGCAATCGTCGCTCAATCATACCCGCATACACGCGACTCTTAAATTAACGATTCGAACCGTTCTGTTTAAAAATAGACACAAAATTCATTTTGTCACGCTTAGAAGCCTTAATCCTATTACGTATATCCTGATCACGGTTAATAGTTCGTTTAGCAATTAATCGTATCGCTCGCGCCTCGATACACGGAAGAGTCTCCGTTATCTCTCACTCTCGCATACTCTCTCTCTATCTCTATCTCTATCTCGCGAGCTGTACACGGTCCTAGACGCCTGCCCGCGTTCTACACCGAATATGCCCTGAACGCGTGACGAGATCAGTATCGATCATTATCTGGGAGACGAGGGAAAAAGAAGAAGAATGTTCCTGCTCGCGTTTGCTACGGTTTCTCGACGGTCCGATCGGCTGATGATAAAAACCGGGAAAACCATCGATCCAAAGATAAAATCCGCGCGATAGACGAGTCTATCGTGAGTCGAAACGATGAAAGAAAGCGATCGTATTCGGTCGACCGATAAAAGGAAATGCGTGGTGTCGGAAACCGCGACACGAAAGAAGAAAACCGACCTGACACGCGCCCGGTTCACTCGAACGGAACGTTTCGCATCAACGTTCCTCTCGCCTAACACTAGTCTTCAGCTCTCACCGTGTCGCCCCAGCGGGAAGGGCCCCGTCGTGCCTCGCCCTTCCCATAATGCCCGCTAGTACGCCAACGAATCCGTGCGCTGTGCCGCATAGACCGCGAAAGACCTTGGAGGAAACAGAACAGTGGGATATATCTGGGGGCTAGAGGGGGACTCGGCGTGTGTCGCCGGCGCACCACGTGGTGCGAGAAGACCACGTGCTGTACTGTCATCGTCTTCGTAGTCGTCTTCGTCGTCGTCGCCGTCGTCGTCGTCGACGTCGTCGTCGACGTCGTCGTCATCATCATCGTCGCGTTGTCATCGCGATGAAAAGGATGCGAATCGAGCGGCCGCGACGACACGCAGAATCGGAATTGCGTAACGTCGTCCGCACGCTGGTTAGAACACGGTGTACGCGTACCACGCGACCCGGACGGGTCCAAAGTCGGACTCGGGCCGAGGTGGATCGTGTTTTGAAAGCTGGCCGAAAGTCTCTAGGTGTCTTGTCGGCCGGTGTCTGGCTCCGAGACGAATTTAGAAGCGTTCTTCACCGCTGGGCACGCCGCGATCTTGCGTAATCGAGCGTGGCCACCGGGCAAATGGACTGTGCCCGTCGATCTGGCCGACCAGTTCGGGAAACGTTCGCCTCCGTTACCAACGAGCGCGTGGAATTCCCTGTACACACCGTGTACAGGATCTCTCTCTCTTCTCTACGACTTGAGCAACAACACTTAACAAGTGAAGTAACAGAGAACGCATGTGGATATATATCCGTGTGTGTATGTAACAACAGAGAGATACGTGAAGAGACATAGAAATTAAACATGACAGAAGAAAAATGATAAAAAATGAAAGAAACAGAAGAGAGAGAGAGAGAGAGCGAGAGAGAGAGAAATAGAGAGAAAGAGAGAGAGAGAGAGAGAGTATAGAAATCGTGAATGTAACTTAAAAAGCCAGCCAAGTGCCAAACAAAGTAACACTCGTCCTTCGCTCGCGAGCAGTACGAGACACTCTTGCTAGCAACGTACTGGAAATGCCGTCAAGTAGCGCCAGTCCAACGGTATCGCGCGGCAAACTGTCACCCACGACCCAATCGAGACACCCTCCCGACGACGACACACAACCCCTCGAGACTCTTCGACACGCCGGAGAAAAGGTAATACACGGCCAGGGTGGTCTCCTGAAGAGACCGCTGAGCCACCCGACTGCTCGGTGCACAACACAGATATCCTCGAGTGGCTCGCTGTTCGCCGACTCGCTTCCCTCCGGAACGGCTCGTTGCCTCGCGGAAATGCGAGGCCGAGGTTCCGCGAACGTTTCGCAAAACTTTCGCAGAGGATCGTGAAAAAGATCTCGCGAAAGTTTCGCTTCCCACGGAAGGCCAGGAAGAGAGGCGAAGAGGAGGCCGCGCGACCGGCGAACAACGCTCGGAAAACACGATTTCCGGTGACCTGGTTGCGTGGGGTACGACAGGCAACGTGGCGGAAGACAACGAAGACACCAGAGACACGCCAGACTTGCGCGCGTACGAGGGGGTTGCCAGCTGGTGGAAGAAGACAAAGAGAGCGGCAGAGGGAACAGAACGGAACGGAACAGAACAGAACAGAACAGAGAGGGTGTCACGGTGATAAGAAGAGAAAAGGTCTCGCGGTATCGGCACGGAAGTCGCGTCTATTACGAGCACGGATAAACGGCCGAGCTGATGCTGTGGTAGGCGGCGAGGGCGGCGTGCGCGTGCGCTGGGGGCGCGGATGCGGCTGCGTGCGGCGAGGTGGCCATCGCGGATGCCGCCGCGGCTGCCATCATCATCTGTTGGTGCGAACGCTTTAGGGAGTTGGGAGTTGTGGCGGCGCTACTTGGGGTAATAGCAGTAGTAGTGGTGGTGTTCGACTGCGGCGCAGGGTGGTGGTTTTGGCTTTGGTTTTGGCTCAGTTGCAAGGGGGTGGTAGTGGCGGTACTGCCGATACCGGCGTGATTATTATTATTATTGTTATTATTGTTCTGGTGGTGATGGTGGTGGTGGTGGTGATGGTGGTGATGGGGGGTGATCGCGTCGTGCGGATAATAAGACGTTGACGATGGTGAGGTACTCACGACGTCCGGCGTGCTGGCTCCGTCCGTGTGGCTGGTGCTGTCCGCGGTGCTCCTCGGCCCGCCACCGTCCAGACCGTTCCCAATCTCGGGCGGTTTCGAACTCTCTCTGTCGTCGATCACTAGGTCAATCGGCATCTTGCCTTTCAAACAGCTGATGTACCGGTGGCAGAAGTTGTCGCAGAGTTCGTGCACCTGAAACACAAAATTTTTCAATCGAATTAGCATCTCGGATTCCTCTCGGATACGGAACACCGTATTAAAACTAACGACTTGCCGAGCGTGACGCTCCCGGGACGGGCTGTCGCGGCTCGAGCCGGAGCCCCGAGATAAGGGAAGTCATAAATAAGATTTTAATTGATGCCGCGGCGCTTGTTTTAATGTCCTCGGCTCCCGAGTTCGGTTTCGACGCCTTTCTAAACTTTACGCTTGACATTTTAACGACCGCTTCGAACCCCACCACCGGCTCCCGCGATATCTCATCGCTCGAAGAGTGTCGATCTACAACGTATATGTACATATATATATATATACACTAATTTTGGCTCCGCGTGTGTACCGATCTCGCTACTTTATAGTTCGTATCGTGTACGGGCGAAAACGCTTCTCAAGGTCGGGGATGACGAGCGGAAAACGATCGGGGACCGGGACACCCCCCGAGGGCTCCTAGACAGCGGCGACACGCGCGTCCCTTCTCCCGTTCCCTATAAACCGTTCACCCGGTATTTTCACCTCGGACCGAGGTACCAAAAGATCCGGCCGATACGAGCGTTGGTATCGATACACAAAGATGGAGGAGAGGACCGTTGAGGAGTTCGTTGCATCTCGAGGCCGTGGAAGCAGTCCGGCAGCGAGAGACAAGACTGGCCGCGTCCACGGGACAGGATCGAAGGGAGACGGAGAGAGGAGGTCTGACCGGTGTCCAGTCGACCAGAATGTTATGTATGCAAATGAGGTCTGACAGGCCTATAGGATACTCGGTCCTCCAGCGTCCTCCTCACGGTTCATCCTCCCCTCCCGTACCTCCCCCTCCCGCCGGCCCCCCTGACCCCATCCCCGCCGGCCGCGCCGGACCGAACCGACTTGCCGCTTGATTCGGTTTAGAAAAAATGTATTATATAAGCAAAAGCAAATAAAAACGGTTATCTTGTTATATGTAAATCGACGGACGGGGGGTCGAGGGGAAAGGGGGAAGGCCGGCGCATTACGAGGCGGCGCGTCTTCTCTCGTTGCAAGCGCGTACGCGCTCGGTCTTCCTAGCCCGTTCTCCTTCTTCCTCTATCCCCCTATCCGTCCATTCCTCTCTCCCTCTCCTTTCTTTCTTTCTTTCTTTCTCTTTCGTTCACTCTCTCCTCTCTCTATCTTTCTCTCTCTCTCTCTCTCTCTTTCTTTCTCTTTTCCTCTCTTTCTCCGATGCCGAAGCTTCTCTACTCAGCCTCTCGGCAACCTATCCACCTAGCCAGATACTTACGGCGTTCTTCTTATTAGGCATTTATATGTAATAGAGAAGACGGCCATCTTTGCCGTAGGCGGCACCGTCCAATGGTGGAAGACCGTCGTGGCTAACACCGAGCGTAGACAATGCACGCGTTTATCATGCGTTAAGCGTATGCGAAAGGAAGGCTCGTTGATCGAACGCGAGGTAACCGATGCACGGACCCGATCCTCTTTCCAGAGATCGCCGCCGCGCGCGACGTTCGAACGGCGCATACGATATTTCACGATACACCCCCCGTCCTGGTCAGCCTCGATGCTGCTCCTTTCTCCACCCTCGATTCGTTTCATGGGAAAATCGCGTTCCGAGAGGCCTAACTGACAAAGACCGATATATCGCAACAACGACAACGCAGGGAACACGGCCGGGTTCTCATGCCGACGCGGACTTCTCCAGAATTTTCTCCGTGGCCACCAGCAGGTAACACAATGCCTCCACGAGATGACTAGACTCTCTTTAACGCGCGGGGACGAAACGGCGCGGAGAGCGGGCGGAGAGGACCCCGAAGGACAGCGGCTATAATGCCGGACTGGTTAGAATTTGATCCACCGGGAGTCGAGTCGAACCGGCCGACAATGCTCACCGAAGAAAAGAAACGGGGCCCATCGTTGTCCCCTCTCCGCTTGCGTCCCCGCGACCGCGCCGAAAGGGGCCCGCTAGCAGAATGTTCGCCTACACCGGCGAGGCCCACCGTGTACCCCTTGCGCGCGGGAACACGGATATCGAGCCATTTTTTAGCGCGCGAACACATTTCACAACCTGGTACCCTATCTCTCCCTTATAAAATCGTTATCTTCCGACGGGAACGATGAGCGCTGAACGCTGATCTCGGAGAGCAAACTTTCTACGGGCAACAAGTATTTACTTAACTTTGTAACTTCGTGTCTCCCCGTTGACACCGTTATCTCCCGAGAATGGGAATCCACCGCGCCCTTTATGACCGATACAATCGTATTAACAGAATTAGTATAGAAGCGTAAACTCTTGCTCTGCTACAATATTCATCTTTTCTGTAATTCTGAAATCTTTCGACGCAAATTTACGCTGTGTGATCATGATGATGATAAATGTATAGACGTATTTATTTAACACGCAGAGCCCGTTGTACAAACGAATCACAAGTAAATATAAAGGAATCGAACAGAGAAAACGATAACAAAATTATATAATGACGAAAATACTGATTAATCCTCTCTATATAAAGCTACCTAAAGCTCCGAAATCGAGCCGGAAAGTACAGAAATCGCCAACAAAATTTAATATGTTGCAATATTAATTGATCTAATTTTGTCGACCGAAAAAGATTCTTCTTATTATCATATTCGACACCTTATCTACTATTAATATCATTTAATATCAATTAATTATCCCGTTCCATTGTGAGAACTATCTGGTGTCTTAATCGTTTCTTAGAAGAAAAATCAAAATTGATATCGACGTCGATGGCGACGTTCAATGACACCGAAGCGAGATCCTAGGCTAATAGGGACCGGAGTGTTTTGTGATCGAGGAGCTGGAACAACGTGTCCTACCCTGGAACCGATGTTCTCGCAGAGGTGCACGAGGTTCGCGCGACCTCCAGGTTCTTCTCTGGTCTAGGACACGCGATACGGAGTACTGGAGAACAAACGGAAAGAAAACGAAAAGCCGAGGGACTACGATCGGTTTGTAATCGGACACCGAGCGAAACTGTTCTCCAAAAGGAGCCGGGGGGTCCTCCCCAGGTTCTCGGCAAGGGAGACGAATCAACAGGCAGCGAACGATTCGACGTCGAGGACCAAGCTTCGCTGTTTCAGATGTATCATATCGTTTGACCGTTCGCACGGCCGCACGGTTGACACTGTACACCACGGTCCTAGAGAGTCAAGGATACGCTAGGCGGAGCAGCGAGCGCGGTGCACTTCTTTGGTATCTAATTCATCCGTGCGGGGACCGGTGCTTCTCGGATTTTCTGATACGAACGTAAGAAGGAGTGGAAGAGGGGACACGGTGAGAGGAGGTTTGCGGGGGCCACGGAAAATATCGAGTGTCTCAAAGGATCGCCGTTTCCAGCCGGCGACCTCCCGATCGCGAGTTCTCTTTCTCCGGCGGTGAAAGCCCTCGGAGAACTGCTATCGGCGGAATTATCCGAGCGGGTATTTAATTTCCGCGAGAGATCGAGGCGGGCGTAAATTTCCTCGAGCGTCCCGAAATAAAAGCGCCGGTATAGAGGAAGAAGGAGTGAGAGAGAGAGCGAGGAGAGGCGAAGGTGGAGAGCGCGGCAAAGGGACGGTATCGCTTTCATTACGTCCCCGCGAACGCTTCTCGTGTTCTCCGTGGGTACATGCGACACCAGAGGCAACGCCATTACCGGAAGGTAGCTTCGCTCGGTGTGTGTACAAGCGCCAGAAGAAACTCAATGGCCGCGCGATACCGGCGACGCTGTAACTCGAGATTATTCCAATTTTATGGCCGATTTAACAAGCTCCGCGGACAGGGGTGTCGGTTTGTACGCGCGCCAGAAGAGAAATTGTCGGCCGGATTTCACCCGGTGCCCGCGGACTTGTTTCTTCCTCGAATACACGCTCCAGCTCGCTCTCTCGCTCGTTCTCGCTCTCTCTCGCGCTGTTTCTCTTCAACTTGTCCCCTACTCGCGAGCACAACGGGTGAACTGCTCGGCCGGTCGTCCCACGTGTGCAAAGATAAATTCCTCGTGTTTCTGCGGCCGAAAAAATCTCTCTCGAGTTGACGCGATTAAACGGTGACGAAGAAACTTGTCGCCGCGGCGCGGCGGGAAGCGGAGCCGCGGTCGCGCGCAGGCCTCGAAACGAGTTCTCGATTCAAAGACTTCTTAAACGGCCCCGAAGGTTCGCCCGGCTCTCTTGTTCCCGTCTTTATTCTCTCCCTCCTCCCCCTCGATCGCGCGAGGGGAGGTTCCGCACGAGGCGACATTATACCGCCGCGTGGTTCCCTTTCATCCCGACCCCCGAAATTACTCGAGAATTTACGTAAACGAAGGAACCAGCGAACAAGTGTCCCCCCCCTCCCACCCCTTTGTTACCTCCTCCTACTCATCCTCCGACCTCCTCGTCCCACCTTCCTCGACTGACCCCCTCGCCGCGCCGCGCCGCGCGCTGTACGAACCGCTCTCCTTCCGCCATCCTCCCTCCGTTGACGGGCTCTCGGAAAGGCAAACGGCGAAGAATGGAACGGATCCAGGGTACGTACGAACCAAGGAACGAAAAAAAGGAGCACAGAGCGAACCCCATTTACGGCACAATGGGCTCCTTTGAAGCCGAAGGTAATGAAGGTTTCGGGGTGTCTGTCTCGGTCCCTCTTCCGTGCTCCCGATTCACAACCTGACCATCCCTTACCGCACGCACAGGGATACCTATATACCGGGTGTCACCAGACGCTTCCTTCCCTCTCCAGTTCCCGCCGATCTGACTCCGAGTTCGACGATCGGCGTCAATTGTTTGCGGAATCCCGATGCTTGCCCGGTCACCATCCTCCGAATTCTCGGGGACTGTGATGTCGCAACGTGCCGCGGTCGGTCAACCTTCTAGATACCCAACGACTATTTTCAAGTCTATTCAAACTTAACCCTTTACACTCCCTGCACACCCCCGCACTTTTTTTAATGCAAAAACCTGCATTTATACGAACCTTTATATTATACGATATAGCTTTGGAACCGAGTAAGATATTATAATGATATTCG